CATCTCTTCTTCTCCTGTGGTTTCCTTCCTGGACAGATGTGCTCGCCCTGTCTTCTCTGACTGAGTGCACACGTGCTACAACTGTAGTCAATCAGGACTGTGTGAGATGTGGCATGCAGACTGCCCCTTCTCTTGATGAAGTCCCAACCCAGTGAAAAGGACAGACAGGCCAGATGTCAGGGAAAGATGGTGTCCTGCCTCTGAACAGGGTTGGGGCTCAGGCTCCACATTGGGGGTTGGAGGCTGCCTGAAGCAGGATGTGTCAGAGTGGAACTTGGAATAGTCCAGTGGAGTCCCCAGGGGAACCACAGGTGGGAGAAAGAGACATGGCAGAAGGGCTGAAGGAGACTCGAGGGGTGGTTTATTAGCATGTCGGTGGTGAAGATTTCACAAGTGTATACATCTGGCTAAACTGGTAAATTAGTTACCTTCGATAAGTGCATGTTATTTGCATATCAGTTATGTGACAATGAAGCTGTCAGTAAACAAAGCATCACAGCATGAGTGGGCCGTGCAAGCTGACCAACAGTCACTTACTTGTCTCACACATTGAGAGCAGACAGTGAGCACTGGTACAGGCAGGGAGTGCTGCTGGGAGGAGGGGATATTTTCTGCCTCTGGAGTTCATGCCCTGGCTGGAGCAGCAAACAAGTAGATAGGTACAGGTGCAATATATGTCAGGTGGTGATCTGAAGACAGATGGGATGAAGGTCAAGGAGTGAGGCTCAGTCACATCTGTCCCCAAGGGCCCAGGATGTCCTGGGCAACACTGGGGCCTGGCTGCTGCTTGGGCCTGGAGTGGACCCAGCAGCACTCTTGCTGCTCATTGGTGCTTCAGCACGGGCTCCACACAGGCCTTGCCTACTTGGCTGGAATTTCCCATGCTGCCTATCTTTGAGTGATGCAGCCCACTCAGATCTCATCTTGAGTTTCAGCTGCACCCTCTTGAGTAGGTGGGGGTGATGGGAGGGTGCGGAGACCTCAGGGCCAGGCCACAGGGACTGTGTGAGGTGCTCCCTCTCCACAAGAGGCACTGAGGCAGCTGGAGCACCTTCAGTCATAGGGATATGGACTCATTACTCCAGAACCATTGGGTTGGTTCAGCTGAATGTCCAACTTGGCTGGGAGCCCAGCTCCACACAGGCCACTCTATGGCTATCAGAACAGGGGCCTGCAAGATCCTGGGAGCTCCTGCTCCTCTGGGAGAGAAGTGGCGCCACCCCCCCTCTCCGCCCCCGGCATCTTTTGGGATTAGGGTATCCTTCCTGGGCAGCCACATATCACCTCCTTAGTCTGCTCAACACATTGTCCTAGATGCTGGAGGGAGGTGGGGGAGAGGCCCAGGGACCCAGCCCAAAAGGGGCATTTTCAGGCCTGGGGTTGCTGCATCCTGAACGGCAAGGAGTGTGTGTGTGGGGAAGAAGTTACAGAGTTGTGCAGGTGGAAATTATTATTCTTATCATTATTTGTATCCAATTCATCAGTCACCAGGGAGAGGAGGAATGCAACTACCTTTTATCTGGTGCTATGAATCAAACAGAATAGGGTATGTTTTTCCAAAAGGTTTTAGGGTATATGAGACAGTTTCTACTTTTCACAACAATCCATCTGAGGTCCATGGCCAAGTCCTGGTGTCTTGAATAGCAGTGAGATGTTTCTGAGATTTTGGCGAACCTAGCTCATGGGGTGCAGGGTCTACCCCTCAGGGAGGCTGGCTACCACTGCTCCCCCATACATTTGCTGCTGTCTCTTAGGACGCCCCAGACCACTTGCACAGGGACACAGGTGGGTGCAGGAGAGCAGGCAGAGCGTCATGGTTGTCTCTGGGGCCAGTCCCCCTGGAGCCTCCAGTACCAGTGAGCCAGCACCAATTTTGTTCTGGCCTTTGTGTGGGAACGATGGGTCCAGCAGGGGAACAGACATGAGTCCCAGGCAGAATCTCTGCCAGGCCTTCTGGGGCATCAGGAAAGGAGCCCTGTCTCATGTGCCACCCCCTCCCTAGAGGCCAGTCCCTCCTGTCCCCAATTCACAGTTGTATCAGCTGACATGCATAGGGCTGTTGGTGGGAAGCAGCAGTGAACAAAAGGGACAAGACTTGCATGCTAGGTTTTGTTCCAGTTGAGTTTCTGCTGGTTACTGCTGACTGTAGCAAGTAGCAACTGGCTTCCTTTTTTAGTAGTCATGGGATTTTCCTCTCACAAGAAATACATGGGAGTTTTGAGTCTGCCTAAGGAGTCCAGGCCACATGCACTTATTCCAAGGCCTGGAATTTGGGGAGGTAGAGAGGTGGGAGTGCCACTTGGCCACAAAGACCCTCATCTGAGAGTGGTGGTAGTGTAGGCCTGGGCCCCAGTTTCATCTGTCCTGCAGCTGTTCCTCCTCCTGGATTGTCTAGTCAGCCCTCACCTGTACACTTCCTCCAGTACTGGGTGTTGCAGCCACCTGAGGGCCAGGCCGAGCAGTTGTCAGCCCTGTAACTGGAAGGCCATCCTGGCGACCTGGCTGGTGTGGCCTGGCCATCTGAAAACCTGAATAGCAGGGGTCATCTTCCACTTGGGGCACTATTATGGGCTTGGAGGAAGCTAGATGGACCCTCCCTTGCACAGCCATCTGGACTTCCTCCCGCATCTGCACTTTCCCCAGGGCTCTCACCCCTGCATCTGTGCTGTCCCCATAGCTGCTCTCCATAGGTGGCCAGAGTAGTGTAGACCTCACACCCAACCATCACTCTTCTACAGAAGGCCCTGGTGCCTCCCCTACCTGTACGAGATCCAGGATCCTCAGTGGGCATATCTAGAAGACCAAGCAGCCATGCCACCTGGCTTCCCTACTGTTCTGTTTCTGTGCCCTCACAGTCCCCATGCCGTGGGACCTCCTGGGACCCTGGAGCATACCTGTTTGCTGCCTGAAATCAGGGCTTTCCCCAGAGCATCCCCCCTCAAGGAGCCCATGCCACCACCTCAAGACCTCTGATACTGTAGCTGAGGAAGGACCCTGTGGCCTAGCATCCACTTCTGCTTACAGCACTCTGGCTGCTTGGTCAAAGATAGCCTGGGGACTCAGAAGGAAAGGTCCCAAGACTGGATGCCAGAATTGCCCTGCGCTTTTTCCCTTATAATCTTCACACCTCCTTTTGGAGAAACTGAGACACAGGTTGACCACCTTGCCTACAATGGTGGTGCAGCTGCTAGGTTTAAACCAAGCATTCCAGCTGTGGAGCCATGCTGCTGCCAGTGTATCCTGCACCATTCCTTGTAGAGCTCAGATGTTTGCAGATGGGAGGACAAGTCTCCATGTTTTCATTCATGGAGAAAAGTCAGACTTACTCTAGCCTGAAGACTTCCCAGTGGCAAGGCCATGTTCAATGCACACCCTGCACATTGAGGGTTAGGCAGGGTGCAACTGGACCAGAAAGAGCCAGCTGCATACATGGCTTTGGAAGGTGGTGGATGGATACCAGTGGGAAGAGAAAGGGGAGGCAGCACAGTGGGAGATTGTGCAGAGGCTTAAGTGTCAGCTCCCTGGGGTAACAAACGTGACCAGGAAAGGATGCCTGACCAAGTAGGGGCGCAAAATTGTCTGTGTTGGACCAGAAGTAGACAGTGGACACCATCCTCTCTCAGGACATCAGAAGAGAACAGGTTTGCCTGGTGTGTGATAGAAGACAGGTACTTCCCTGTTGTGTTTACATTTTTATGTTATTTGACTAAGGTAATTCATTCATGCATTTCAAAAGTCAAAAGGTAGAAAAGGTGAAAGACCCCCCCCCCACCCCCGGCACGCCACTTCCCAGTTTTCTCCTGATTCCTTTCACATGTCCTCTTATTACACTGGGGCAGCAGGCTCTGTACCACAGTCTAGGCTCCAACACCCACACAATGCCCAGAGTCCTTCATATTAGCCCCTCTCAGTGCCCCTGTCTGTCCCTCTCTGGTCACTGGAGGCTCTGCACTGCTTGACCATGCTCAGGCTGGACTTCTTTGTCATCCCAGGGTTTGGCTTCTGGAAGCTGCTGCAGTGAGTAGTCTGTACAGCGTCACTTCCCCTTGGACAAGCACATAGGAAGGGCACATCCCTAAAAGTAGAGTTGATGGCTCAGTCTGTGCGTTTGTAATTTCTGTTGCTATTGCCAGAGAAAAGGGCACTTCACGTCATGGGACCTGAGTTTGCTGTTGGCAGCAGCATCTGTGGAAGACAGGCAGGGGAGGCCCCATGGCTGTGTTGCCCCCAAAGGCAGTTCCTGGGCCAGAGCTGACACAGGCTCAAAAGGGGAGGGTCTCACTCCTAGCTGAGATTAAGACTTCGGAGAGGAGGCTCAGGTGGGCTAGGGTAGCCAGCAGAGAACGGTGCGTGGAATCGGTGCCCAGCTGATGGTTTTACACACACGTGACTTTCCTCTCATCCTGGCATTCACTAGGAGGTGTGGGCAGTGGTGCCCAGCAGGAGATGCAGCACAAGTAGTGGGAGCTTGGCACGGGAGCATGGGCCAAGGGACCACAAAGGGTTCTGCCTGGTTCTGGCACCATAGAGGAGGCCAGCAATCTGTGGAGGAAGTGGCATGACAGTGAAGTCCCAGGCCAAGTTGCAACATAGTGGCATGTGGCAGGATGGGAGATACAGCCAGTTCTCAGGGTCTCTCAATGGGAAGCCAGAGCCAGGGCCAGGGGGCTCTAGAGAGCCATGGGTCCTGGAGGCAGGTGTGAGGGGCGGTATAGCAGGGGATTGGGGTTCGAATCCGCTCCCACCCCTTGAACTCTGTGACCTGGGATGTGCCATGCCTTCACGTCTTCAGCCAGGAAGTGGAGCTCACTTGTGCCAGGTGTTCACATGTGTGCCATGTTAAGAGAGTGATGGTGACAGGGTGGTGGGCAGCTCAGACTGCTACCCTGTTCCCGTGCACTTCACTGAGAGGCAGGCGCAGCAGCCAGCTCTACCCCTGCCAGCTCTCCAGAGTGCTTTACTGATGACTTCTCTCTCTTTGGTTGGCTTTGTGGGGACAGGCGATGGATGACTACAGCGTGATCGGCCGCTCCCTGTTCAAAAAGGAGACTAACATCCAGCTCTTCGTGGGGCTCAAGGTGCACCTGTCCACAGGGGAGCAGGGGGTTATCGACAGTGCCTTCGGCCAGAGTGGCAAGTTCAAGATCCATATTGCCGGTAAGTGCAGCCCTGTTCTCCTGCTCATGGGCTTCTGCATAGAGAGGTGGCAAGGACGGTCCAAGCCACTGCTTCTCGGGACAGAGCCCCAGTCCTGCCTGTGCTGATGCCAATCAGTATTGTGACCTCTGGCTGGGAAGCAGTTTAGAACCCAGGAGAAGCCTGGGGCATGAAGCTGAGCTTTGATCTGAGCTGTATTGAGATCATAGTTTGAGTTCTCATTCCATCATTTACTATCTGGGGTCACCTTGGACACCCCCTTGAATTCCCTATGAAGGGTGACACCAGGCCTGCCATACCATATGGCCACATTCAGGTTCCAGCAGTGGGATTTTTTGCCTCCTTTTGCCCAGCAGCACCTGAGCTGGACCACTGCCAGGCTGGTGGGCCCTTTGCACGCTGGGTAGGATGTATGCTGGAGATGGAGCCCCAGGTTCCTTTGGCCTTGTGTGCATTAACTGAGCTCGTGCTATACTGAAGCCAGCTGCGCCTGGCTGGTGCTGGGATGTGAAACTGTGGTTGTGGGAGGGACAGGCAGTAAGCATAATTAAATGTCTGTGCACTTGGTGGCGATGTGTGCTGTGAACAGACGGTAGAGTTACTGAGTGTGTTGTTTCCAGTAGAGAACACAGCAGAGGCCTGACCTAGGGAGGGACTCGGGCAGGCCCAGGAAGAGTATTCCACAGAAAGCAGAACAGGGCGCACAGGCCTGGAGTGGCACTAAAGTCGTGAGGGCTGGTGAGGGCTGGTGCGAGTGTGTTGTGGGGAACTGAGAGGGAGGGGCCGGGGCTGCAGGCAGTACTAATGCTATAGCTCCAGACAGCATGAGAGGGACTTGGCGGTGGGGGGGGTCCACATTATTGTGCTGTGATCCCTGATCTTTTATCCCCCAGCATTGTATTGTGAAAATTGTCAAACATAGAGCAAAACTGAAGAGTTCTACAATGTATGCCTGTCGTCCACTGATTTCACATGTACTCACTGCTGTTCTCTGTGTGGCTCTGGGACTCTGGGTTGGAAAGGGTACCAGTGGAACATTTAAATCCCCTTCTCAAAGCCCACAGGGCCATGGATGCCTCTGCCTCCCTGTGACCCTTTGCTTAGGGCCTGCAGCCATGCTGGAAGCAGCAGGTAGACCCAATGTGGAGACAACAAGGCACAGCCAGCTCTTTTCCTGGGCCAGCCCAGGGATTCCAGGCTGTGCTCACCCATCTGCTGCAGAGGAAGAAACCCTTCCAGCCCCCCACCCCCACCCCAGGCAGCCAGCCAAGGGTAACAAGAGCAGCACTGGAGGTGGCCCTGTGACAGCCCCTGATTATTGAGGTCAGGAGTCTTTCCTGTATGACCAATCCTGTCTGTTAGGCCTGATACCTGCTTTTCTGTGCTGCAGATGTTTTTCTGGGTCAGGTGCAGTGCTAGGTTCTGGGCAGACAGCTCAAGAAGACACAGCCAGACCCTCAGGAAGTTCACAGCCAGCACCATTTAGTCAGCAGTGCTTCTGAGCCTTCGTCATGTGTCATCCCTGTACCAGGTTCTAGAGAGACCACAGTGGGCCACAACCCACATGACCCTGTGTTCATGGAGCTCACAGTTTAGATGGGGTCCTCATAAGCTTGGCTGGCCAACCACACCACAGGCTGCAGCTTAAACAATGGCAGTTGCTGCTCACGGTTCTGAGAACCCTGATCAAGAAAGTGGCTGGTGTCTCCTGAAGCCCCTTTCCCTGGCTTGCCATCTTAAGACTTTTGTGTCTTCACGCGGTTGTCCATCTATGGCTGTCTGTCCTAATACATTCTCTCGTAGACACCAGTCGTACTGATTAGAGCCCACACTAGCGGCTTTACTTCAACTTCATCACTCTTCAGACCCTTCTCCACACGTAGTTACGGTCTGAGATCTTGGGGGTTAGATCACAATCAGCCTATAGCAGCTGGGACGTGGGCACCCGCAGACAGCCTCCCAAGTCCTTGAGAACTGCTGTCCACACGCGTGCTGTGCAGGGACGGCACACAAAGCCACGAGAGCCCCTAGCTGAGTCGGGTTGGGAAGGCTTCAGGGGAGTAATGTGGCTCCAGGGAATGAGGGTGTGTAGGAGCCCTGCTGCCCTGGGAGGTCAGGCTGCTCGTCCTTCCCCTACGACGTCCTTTTCACATCCTTAGACCACGCAGAGGTCAGTCTGCATGTAGTTGAGGGGCATGAAATGCTGCTCCTGCTGACCCTGAGTGTCACCTCACACACACCCCACCATCTCCCAGGGTGGCTTGCCGTACTTACTGGTTAGAGCCATGTCCTGTTTCCAAAGGGCCTTCCTAGGGAAGCCGAAGACTGCAGCATGACTGCACCTATCTTTAGGCCTTGAATTTGGTTACAGGGAGGGAGACTGGGCCTTGGAAACAAGGCCCTGAGGTGAGAAGGGCAGCAAGGTAAGAGCCAGGCCCATCATCAGCCTGGCTCTGTCTGGCACCCAGAGACCAGGCAGGACTACACCAACTTACTGCCTGCCAGGTGCCACAGGGGTGCGTTGTGCACACTTGCCACTTCTGCCTCACAGGAGCCTCACTAGTCCTTTAGCCTCTCTAGGCCCGCTGTCCTCAGCCTTCAGATGGGTGAATAACTGGATATGCAGGAAAGCTGAGGGTGCCATCCAGCTCATTTACTTTGCCCATCTGAGAACAGGCCTTACAGGAAGTCAGCCATGTGTGTACCCTGGGATCCTTCTGGTTGTTAACCTGCAACCCTGAAGCCAGCCTTGGACAGAGCAGGAATAGAGGAATTTGAGCCTGTCTCTCTTTTTTCTTGCACTGTTGACGTTGGGCTGCACCGGTCTTGGTTGAGGGCAGGCTGGTGCACCATGGCAATGTCAGGGGCTTACGAGCCTCCCTTGCTTGGCCTCATCTTGCTGGGTGCCTGAGCCACCCCCAAATTGTGACAACAGAAGCCTGTAAACACTGCCAGATTTCCTGGGAGAGCAGTTCTACCTGGTTGAGAAGCAGAATCTAAGAAGTCAGGGTGGCAGTGGCTGTACAGGAAGTGAACGTGGACCTGCCCTTTTCCTTACTGTCACATGGCAGCCACAGGCCCCAAGTGAGCTGTGCTCCATCAGATTGCTTAGGTTGGGACGTGGAGGCCTATGTTCATTCAGTACTTAAAGCCCTTTCTCCCACTCCCTTGACTGGATCCAGTAGCAAGCGCGGCATCCTGTGTTCTCACCAGTCCTGTCACACTGAACTGGGATGTAGGGAAGGGGTCCTTCTAGCTGGACAGTAAGATACTAGGAATTTGAGAAGTCTTGGCAGAGCAGGCAAGGACTCACACATACATCTCTGGGGAAAAGGAGAGCCTGGGCAAGAGTGGGTCTGGGAACCCATGCTCTGTGGGCTGACTCCCCTCCATTACTAGAGGGAAGGGGCTTCTAGCCCCAGGACACCCACTGTCGTCTTCCTGTCCTGGCAGGGGCATGGCCTCTTGCAGAGGTGTTGAAAAAAACAACCCAACTTTTTTGTAACCTAAAAATAATAGCAGTGCACATTCAAGGAGAGCATTGTCTTCTCTCTCAAAAGCTCCTTTTTATGTAATGAGATTAGATGGGGACGTGCAAATCTTTGTGTTCTGATTGTTTCCAATCAATATTACCCCAGTTTTTGTCCTTTTACTCTTTTACTCTATGTCTTCTACGGACTGAAGTGACACCTCAGCCAGCACTGGCCCACACCTCAGCACTGTTGCTCACCAGGTAATAACCCCAGTGAGCGCCTGGGTCTCTCTGAGCTTCAGTTTTCTTGTCTGCGAAGTGGGATCCTGGGGGCCCTGAGGTCTGAACATGCAGGAGAATGTAAAAGCATGTGCAGCATTGTGCACGGGTCTGCACACCACCAGGCACCATAGCGATGTCTGTGTGTTTGTCACTGGACCCTCATTCTGGGTGGGCACAGCAGCAGACACTCACGCTGAGCTGGACCGCAGGAGACACAGCTCATGGGGCCCAGGTGATCCCAGCATCTGTGGTAGCTTGTGTTGCAAGGACACTATTGTCTATAAATCTGCTTTAATGTGTAGGGTATTTTCTTAAGACAGATTCTCAGAAGTTGAACTGTTGTAATTTTTACAAAGAAAAGACCACAGCCATTTGAAAGTTCTTGAGAGTTTCTGGCAGTGAGTCCCAAAGTATTGCGCGTCTTGCTCTTCTGCCAGCCCTGCATGGAGGCAAGCTTTTCACCACCCGGCCCCAGGCTGTTCATCCTTGCTGATGTGATGCATGGCAAATGGCAGCTCTGGGTTTTATTTGCATTTCTCTGGTAACTAGTAAAGTTGGCCATTTGGCCACATCTGTGATTCTTGAGAGATTCAGAAGAGGGTGTCCTTACCTCCTGGACTCTTATTACTGTTTGTCAGAGCTTCCACTTTGGGGTTCCTACCTGGTGGCTGGATATCTCCTGTATCTGACCCGCAGAGCCCTATAATACAAGCACATCACCCCAAAGCTCTGTGTCCACCTGAGGTACCACCACCAAGGTAGCCCTTGGCCATGGTGCCTGCACATTCATGGTTTGTGGCCTTGTGCCTTGTCCTGAACCCAGAGCCCAGACCCAGGGCCTGTCACAGCAGCTCCTTCTGTCCTCACATGATCAAGCTGTCTGAGGCACTGCAGGAAGGAAGTTCAGCTGGGAGGATGGGGGAAGCAGCCTCGAGCCCTAGGCAGGCACCCAGCTAGGCTGGTACATACAGCGCTCCTTGGGCCTGCAACTGCCAGAGCACCTCTGGGGTTCACCTCCAGGTGGGGAGCCACAGAAGGCATTTGGCAGAGGAGGCCAGGATGGTGGGGTGTTTGCAAATGGTGGTGCTAGCAGTCCGGGGCCCTGGAGAGCTGCCCATGGAAGCCCTGAGAGCCTGCAGCCAGCATGGGAAAGCATGTGGGGGTGAGAGACTCATGCACTGATTTCAAGGTGCTGGCTATCCCTAGACAGCACATCCCAGTCTAGCATTACAGGGAGGCCCAAAGC